CCTACCCAAGGCCACACAGCTGGCAAATAGTGTGGCTGAGATTCAAGCCCCAGGACTTCAGAGCCCATGATTGGACCATCTTTTCTTGGTTGTCTTCTGTGGTAGGCTGACTAATGCCCCCTGCCAGAGATGTCCGTGTTCTAAGTCCTGTAACCTGTGGATGTTACCTTATACTAGATGTGATGATGGATTTTAAAACAGGGAGATTGTTCTGGATCATTACAGTCACAGATGCCTCTATAGAAAGGATGCGGAGGGAGGTCACAGACAGAAGGCGGAAGGGGATGCGATGGTAAGGCAGAGAAGGAGATGGAAGTCCCCCACTGCTCGCTCTGAGGATGCAGGAAGGGGCCACGAGCCAAAGTGCAGCTCTAGCAGCTGGAAAGGGCAGCGAAGCACACTCTCCCCAAGGCCTGTGGAAGGAGTGCGGCCCTGCTGGCCGCTTGCTTTCCCCCAGTAAAACTGATCTCTAGTTTCTGGCTTCCCGGGCTCTAGAGAGCAAATGTGTACCGTTTTCAGCCACCACATCCGTAGTGATTGGTTATAGCGGCCCTAGAAACTCCTACACTTTCCCTCCCAGAAGAGCCTATTCAGCGTCCCCGGCCCCTGCTCATTTACTGCCCCCTGTGCTCCGCTCCACGTGGGGCCTCCTCACGGCTCTGCCCCTGGGGTTCTGCCCAGGCCTCTGCGCTTCCTCCCACCTGGGGCCTCTTCCGCCTCTCTCAGCACCCACCTCCCCAGACTAGCATCATCCTCCAGTTGCCTAAGGGCAGGAACCAGCTCTGGGACAGGGCAGAGAAGGACACCGAGGCTCGAGTGGGCAGTGAACGTTCAAGGTCCCTCAGCTGGCAAGGGGATTTGGGCCTGTCTGATGCCAGAGCTGGTGCTCCCAACAACTCCTTTCCCAGTGGACACTCAGAAAATATCCCTGAATGAGTGACAAGGCGGGCAGACACAGGAACCGGGAAAATGCACTGGGGGAAGGGCCACGGGTGCCCCCAGGAGGGTGGTGACTCCCCGAGGAAACCAAGGAAAGCTTCATGGCAAAGGGGGCCTGGGAGGAGGGGGGCACTTCAGGCAGAGAATATCATGAGCAAAGGCCTGAAGATGGAAGAAGCGAGATGGCAGCAAAGGCAGGGCACTTGGGGAGCTGGGGAAGTGACGCCAGACTCCGGGTGGGAAGAGCCTTGGATAGCAGGCTGAGGCAGTGAAGGTCGGGCAGGGGACCGGACTGCAGAGCCACTTCCCTGGTGACCTCCTGGCCTCCAAGTGTAAGGGTGAAGGGGTGTCCATGCCCCCAGCCAGTGAGCAGAGGCTGGGTTCAGTAAACACAACTACAAGTACTAGAGAGGAACAGCAGTGTGGGCAGAAATCCAGGTGGCAAGCATGGGGAGGTGTCATGAAGGCAGCCAAGAGAATAGGTCAGGACTCAGAAGACAGGTTGAGGCTGCAGACAGATGGTGGGGAGAAACTGGGACGACCATGCTGGCTCCAGCTGCAGGGGGAATTAGGGAGTCAGGGAAGGTGTGTGCCAAGAGGTGACCAGGGCACCCGTGGTCATGGATTCTTGAGGAAGAGTACCTTTTCTGTCCTTACCTGCTTCTGCTGCCCCTGCACCCATCTGTGCCCAAATGGAATTGGACCTTTCCTGGAGGGCTCCACTTTAGGGACACCTAACAGCAAATTCCAAACCAATAATAGTCAATAAATGAGGAGTGATTACTAACAATAGGAGAGGGTATACCACGGGGTGCCTCCAAATAGCAGCTCCTCCAATATGTTTTAAGTGCTTTATAGGTCATTAACTACTTGACAGAGAGAGCCTAACACTTACAGCAAAGAATTCTGTGCCTCTGCCAGGGAAAATCAATCAGAAATGAAGATAAAGTATCACTGGTGCTAAGACGCATCGGGTGGGCAAACGGGATCCAATTTATGCATGATTTTAAGGTCTTCTCCATTGTGTAAAGTGGGGCACACTGGTATTGGGGGCCATTTATAAATCCCAAACTGGAGTTTAGAAATACTAATCTCCCCTTTTCCACTTTCTCATTAATGAAATTTTTCAAAGATGTGGAAAAGTACAGAGATGAGCTTAAACATTTAAGCCCACTACCTGACTGTCAAATACAACATTAGAGCTGTCCTTGAAGCACCCACTTTGTAAAACTATTATTTGTTTTTTCTTCCTGTCTTTCAAGTCCTTTCTGACTTCCATCCCCTCCTCTTCAGGGAGCCCTAGGCTGACCACCCACACCTGCCCAAGACATGCTCCTTCCTCTGCAATCTGAGAATAATTACTGCCTCTTTAATTAACTTGGTGATTAATCACCACCTGCTTGTGAAGCAGCTTTTATTGTCCTTGTCCATCTCGCCTGCGGGATGCAGGTGGGGGTGGGGACCAGGCAGGCAGGTGTAGAGGGACAGGCAGGCAGGGCTCTCCTGGGGCCCTGGGCAGGGCACGGTCAGCTGGAAGGAGAGGCCTGAGAAGCTCTGATACACAGAGGGCCAGCTCCCTCCTGGCTCTGTTTAGGCAGCTGCCGGGTACCAGGAGCTGAGATGAACTGGAGATAAGCTCTGAGATGGCAGTGGACAGCCAAGATGGTGATCTGTCCTGGGCAACCTCAGGGCCTCTGCTCTTGCTGTTCCCCTCTGACCAGGATGTTCTTTTCTCATTGAGCCTTGTTGTACCTCAGTGTGAAACACCCAGTGTTCCCTCATGAGCCTTGTGTGAACCGTGTCCCCCCAAAAGACATGCTCAAATCCTAACCTGTGAATGTAACCTGATTTGGAAACAGTCTTTGCAACTATAATAAAGTTAAGATGAGGTCATTCTGGGGTATGGTGGGCCCTAAGTCCAATGACTGGTGTCCTTATAAGACGGCCATGTGAACACAGAGACACAGGGAGAACTCCAAGCCAGTTTCTCTGTGCCAAAATCTGGGTGCCCACGATCTCAGAGAGCATTTGTCTGGTGGATTAACCCTCTCCTGCCCAACTCCAGGAGCAGCTCCCACGCCCTCCTCTATCAGAGGAAGCCTTCTCCCCTATCCCATCTCAAAGACCACCCAGCAATCAGAAGGACCCACCTGGCAGGGTGGGGTTCCCAAGGATTGCCCTCCCCCAGACCAGCATGCCTGCTCAAGTAGGTTTGCTTAATGATCACCCCTGGGGCTACCCCAGGAAAATCTTCCTACATGCCCTCAAACCCTGAGGTGGGTGAGGTAGCCTGATCTGAGCAGTGCTTTTAACGCCCCCATTGACCGGGAGGGGTGCCCGGGGAGGGAGCGGGCCCAGCAGGTTGACAAGGTCTTAACGTGATCAGGGGTGTCTCATCTACACTGACAAGCACCGTGCTGGGACGGCATGGGCATCGAAACGACATCTTAACCTATCTTCTGCTCTAATCCAACACTGTCGTTTGACAGACGGGAAACCGAGGCCCTGACACTCCACCGGGCCTCAGGTAGAGCAGCTCTGAGGTCCCGGGGTACAAGCACGTCCGAGTGTCCGCTCGGGCATTCAGGCCCAGGTGACGGCATTTCTCTGCACTTGAGTCTCCCGTTCTTGAAGAACAGTAATACCATCTTCTAGGGATGTTACCAGCCTTAAAGATGGCTCTGAAAGCCTGTATGCACATTTTTCGATAATTCAACCAAATCAACAGGTTTTGAGCACCTCCTGTGTGCTCTGGGGATACGGTGCTGGGCACCACAAATGTTTCTACGTCTAGGTGCTACCTGTTTGGTAGAGAAGGACAAAGAGACGGAGTCACAGTCGAGTGGTTAACGGTTATGATGGGGTGCACGGAAGGAGAGAGGAAAGAGCGGCAGATCTCAGGGGGCCCAACAGAGCGGCGGCCGGAGGAGAAACGGAAAGGAATGAAACCCGCCACCCCAACCCGGCGCCCGAGCCCTTCTTCGTCTCCGCCAATCGGGCGTCAGTATCGCCGGCCGGCCGGCCAATCGGGAGCCGGAACCGGAGCGCTCGCAGCCGGCTAAGGGTTCCCTCAGAAGGGAGGCCAGAGTCCGCGCGCCCCGCCCCGCCCCGCCGCGCCGGCCTGGAGCCCCCCGCCCGCGGCCGACCGCCGGCGCCGAACTCTGTCTCAAAGGCGGAAAAAAGAGAGTAGCGGGGAGGTTGGGGGACAGCCACCTTACCGGAGAGGTTTTACGTTTTCTTTCGCCACTGGCAATAATGCGAAATATGTGAAGGAGACGGCACCGCCGGGACAGGAGCGTGAGGGCGCGGGCACGGCAAGCAGCCACGGCCGGCTGTGCCGGCCGCGGGGTCCCGGGAGAAGACTGGGCGCCGCCCCCGGCCCTGAGCGGCGGTCGCCGGGTCCTCGCCCGGGTCTGCGCCCTGAAGGGTCTCGTGAACCTTGCGCGGTGCAGACGCGGCCCCGAGTGGCGGCACCTCCGAGGCGGTGCGGACGCGGCCCCTGAACTGGGGCGTCTCCGGTGACCGGGGGGCTGCCAAGGCGGCGTGGACGAGCGCGGGCGGTCTGGCGGCGGCGCCCCTGAACTCTCCAGGAGCCAGGACCGAGCCCTGGGACCGAGGCTGGCAACCGCTTAACTCGCGGCGGGTGAGACTGGAGACGCGGCTATGCGCGAGGCACCCCGCGGCGGCCCGGGGGCAGGTGAGGCTGCGTGGACGCGCGCAGAAGCAGCAGCAGGTGCGGACGCGCGCGGGTGGCAGGCGCCAAAGTTTGCTGGAGGGCGCGGCGCGGGCGGGGGCGCGGGCGGCGGGTGGGCGCGGGGTCGAGGCGCGCGCGGGGCTTGGACCCCGCCGGCCGCGAGTCGCGGCCCCTCCCCCGCCGCCCGCGCCTCCGGGAGCCCCAGGCCCCAGCCTCAGCTGCTGCTGCGGAGGAAACGGGAGTTGGGGGCGGAGCAACGAACTGAGTCCTGCGGGACAGACCGCGGGGATTCACCCTGAGCCTCCGGGACAGGTTAGCCAAGCCCCTGCCCCGTGCCCACTGGGAGTTTGGGGGTATTCCATCTCACCTGGGAGGAATCTGAGGGGCAGTGCCGTCCTGGTGTCCCGACACACGCTGGTCATCAGCCGAGGGCACCAAGCCCAGAGCCCAGCCCCTTTTCTCCTTGCACTTCTGCCTCAGTGAGGAGAAAGGGGGTGCCCAGTTTGGTGGGAGTGTGTGTGCAATTGAGACTTGGGGGTGGGGTGCAGGGAGGCCCTGGGCTGGGGTTCCTGCGTCTGCCTCCCACTGCCTCTTTGTGGCTACAGGTGGCCCCAGAGCACCAGGCTGGGGGGAGTGGAGGAGGGAAGGCCGTGGTGGAGAGCATTGGTCAGGTGATGCTAGTGCCACCTACCGCGTCCCCTGCGTCTGAGGCTGATCAAGTGGGGCAGGATATCTGTGTGGCATTCTCCTGGAAGGGAAGGAAGACACCCAACCCCGGTCTCTGCCAAAGGGGAAGGGCAGAAGGGAGGGAGTGTCCAGGGTGCTTCCTGGTGTAGCTCAGTCCCATCTCCCACTACTCTCTGTGCCTTTGGCCCCAGTTCTACTTCCACACCTCCTAGTCTCTGTGATCCCACCTACCACAGGTCCTTTGCACATGTTGTTTATATTTTTGATCAACAAATAGTCATCAGACATCTCCTAGTCCCAGGCATGGACAACTCAGTGGTGAACAAGACAGATACAGTCTCTCCTTCACAGGACTTCCAGACCAGTGCAAAGACATAGATGATGAACAGTGAGGAAGGAATGGGGCCTGGGGACAAGAGGCAACCTTGTGTAGGCATTAGGAAAGGCTTCTCTGCAGAGGTGACAGCGAGTCAGGGGGCTTAATGCCTCCTCATCCTTTGGGCCCCAGTCACCTCCCCCAAGAAGCCTTTGCTGACCTCCCTGACCTGACACTTCCCCTATGACAGGCTATTATAGCCTGAGACCGCTCTCTCCAGGTATATATTTTATGTCATTATTGGGTTAGTCTTTGTCTCCCCTCATCAATTTTAATTGCTGTGAGGGTAAGACCTGAATCTCTCCTCTGGGTAGATGGTAGGCAAAGTGAATAAATGTTGAGTAGAATTTCCCCAGCAAAGTGGGAGCTGCTCAGCCAGGTCTGGCATCCAGATGGCAGAAAATTGTATTTCCCCTTCCCTGGCCTTACTCTAGACTCTACACCCCGTTTGCAGTTCACAGAAACAAAGTGAAAGAAACCAGCAGGCCTGGTTAAGAAGAGAGCAGGGAGAGGCCTGGTCCAGAAGACTCACGGAAGCACCAAGTCTGGCCCCCTGGAAGGGAAGGGCCTGTGGTGGAGGGAGGCCTGGGATAGGCGCCTGTGCTGTTCTCTGGGCTCCGACCAGCTTACACCTCATTCTTTGGTACCAGTGCTTAGAGGCTTGATTTCCTGCCAATGCTACTCTGGGAGAAGGTGGTGGCCAGCAGGGTCCCCAGAATGGCCAGGGTACAAGGCCATAGTAACTACCTGTCCCTAACACCCTCCCACCCCCACCCCCTGACCTCCCACATTTGGTCTCTACCATCTTGGGTGGGCAGGACCCTGGGCAGTGCCTCTATGACCCAGAATCAGACCTCTGGGCCACAACTAGCTGCCCAGGTGACCTACAGTTCAGTTAAACTCCTGGCTGGAAAGTATCAATCAAGCTTAAAAGGACTGACTCTTTATTTTTCCTTGATTCAATACTCAGTGAATTTCTCCCTCCCCTGGCTCTGTTAGACCTGTATGCCTGGCATCTCTTCAGTGGCAGATTATGTTCTCACAGATGCCCAACAGGGATTTTAGTGCCTACCCTCCCCACTCCAAGGGATTGAGCGGCCTCCACACAAGCCTAGTGAAAGCGTGTGCATGCTGTATTCAGGCTCTGGCAGGGACGGAATAAAAGCAGTCTCCCTGCCCTGCCAGCCAGTCAGCCCACCCTCCTGACTGGAGTTGCTTTAAAATTTTAATTTGCAGTGATTTTACTCCCTTCTGTTCTGTGGGGATCACCAGCATTCTAAATATGTATAAATATGTATTTAAAGCAGATTCACTGCTCTCAGTTAAACCTTAACTGCCTCCCCCCACCCAGTAGAAAGAGCACTGGATTTGGAGTCAGCTTCTCAGAGGTTCAGGCCAACTTCTGCTAATGACAAGCTGTGTGACCTTGGGCAAACGACTTAACTTCTCTGCACCTTCTTTAGCTCCTCTGGAAACGGAGGTTGATGATAATCCGTCCCTTACAGGGTGTTGGGGGATTAAATTATATAACATTGAGGGAAAAGCTGTGCAGTGCTGGGCCGTGTTTTCTGTTCCCTAGCTAAAGAGCCTGGTGACCTTGGGAGGGCTACTCCACCACTCTTGGCCCCCAATTTCTGCATCTGAAAAGCACAGGGGTTGTTCTAGGAGATGAGGCCACAGAGCCCTATACCTCCAACCCTGATCCCCCACTCACCTCCTCCTGCCCTCTGCCACACACCCTCCCCTTGGCACCCCTTCTCCTGTTACCCAAGCTCTTGTTCTAAGTGGAGATGGTTCCCCTCCCGGCTGCCTCTCCTCCCAGCTCCCGGTGAGTACAAGGGTTTGGGCCCAGGGGCCTGCAGTTCTTGGCTCGTTTTCAGGAGCAATTAGCCGTGATGTCCCAGGCCTTGGAGGTAGCCTCTGTGGGCGCATAGCCAGACTGCCAGGAAGCCGGGATTCTGCTTGGTCTGTGGCCTGCAGGACTCCCCCAGGCCCAGGGGGTCCCCACTGCTGGTTGTGGGGAAGCAGCCTCCCAGGCAAAGCCATTTCCATTTCTGTACTTTCTGATTCCATGAAGGTCTGAGTCTGAGTGTGAATTCGTTCTATCCTGTGCCTTTGTTGGCAACTGTCTGTTCCTCAGAAGTGAGGGGCTTTGTCAGTAAGAACAAAGCTGTTCGGTGTTTTTCCGATTTGGGGGAAACGTGCTTCTTGGGGACGGCTCATGGCTCTCCAAGTCGGCCTCAAGTCCTTGGCTCTCAGGCTTGCTGGTTTTGTTTTCGGTTTTTAAGTCCTATGGCTTAAGAGTCACATATGTTTATGTGTGTGTTGGCTGAGGGATTTTTTTCCTCCTTTTTGGCCTACACAGTGTATTCCGTGGAAGCCAATTCCAGAGACTGAACTTTTCAAATTACTGCTTCAACAGCTTTTAAAAATCTGGACCTAGTTATTCCTGTCATCTATGTATAAAGATTTAGAAAAAAATTCCAAAGCCAAGGGTGGGCAGCCTCGAAGATGTACAGCTCCTGGCAGTGCGCACTTGCTGTAGACCCGAGGTCAGAGCCGATAGGTGGAGGGTCTCTCAAGATAGGTGGTTGGAGGAGCAGAGTGTGCGCACCGCCAGGACAGCTGGGTATTTAGAAAACATCTGGGTGGCTGGATCTTTCAGGTTTCTGCCTGACATTTAATACCACAAATACCGAGTCTCCCTCCTGTCCCCCACCTCCCAAACACACCCGGCCCTCTCCCCGCTTCCTGACGGATAAGAACATCCATTCTTTCCAATTCCCCAGCGTTTCCCCCCTACCAGAATCTGCCGGGCTTATGACATCATGGCTGGCTGCTGAGCGATGAAGTGGATGCCACAAAGAAATCCGGCATATCAGATGGATTCTGAAATCAGTTTCCCTCCGGCTGTAGTAACAGGAGTGAAGTCAGAAGAGTGTGAGCTTTGTTTAAGAAACAAAAAAATAAAACTATGCCTTGCCCTGTATCAAATACAATTTTTTTAAGCAAACAGACCTTTTGGACATCATCGTTATTTTAATAGAAATGCTGGTTTTCATGAAATGAAAGCGGCGAATAAATCAGACCTGAAGCTGCATCTGAATGTTCCAGTTCTGTTGAGTTTTTGTGTGTGTCCTTATTCATTAATAAAGGAGGAACTGGGAATGGTTTATCTCCCTTCATTATTCAAGTGGGATAGTTTTTTTTTTTTTTTTTTTGGAGGCCTATGAAATTCACCAGGTAAATTGCTGGTTTATGTTTTTCCAGTAATCCGTTTTTATGGAGTGACCCTGGACCCGACCCAGTCTGCAAACATTGTGGTTCCTTCTGCTGGTTTTCCTGGCTGTGAAACTACTAGGAGGAGGCAGTTAAGCCTGCTTTTCAGTCTCCTCTTGGCAGCGCAGGGCCAGGACCCGGTAGGCCAGGGTGATTCTTGGGGTAAAAAAGCTCTGTGAAAGGATAAAGTCAGGAGAGAATGGGCAGTAAAGAGTCCTGTGATGCAAACCGCAGGGCCGCCTGGGAGTGGAATGTACTGTCTTTCTCCGCCAAAGGGGAACCAGGACCTCAGAAATAGCCCCAGGCTGAGGAAGCTCACCCCCGATGCAGGGCCAGGTTAAAGGAAGCCCAGGGTTCTATGTGTCATGCATGCCAGGTCCCCAGCACATCTAACAGACCAGGACTGAAGTCCGCCCCTCTCCACAGACAAGCCGTGGGCCCTGGGTAAGTCACATCATCTTGCAGTCTTTGCCCCTGTGAACAGGCACAGTGACCTACCCTGTCCGCTGGGAGAATCGATAGTGCTGGATGCTCCGCATGAACCCAGTCGCTTCAAAAGGCTCCAGAGTCAGTGTCAGAGCCCAGAGAGGCCAGTGAAGATTCTGGAATCAAGTCCACTGCTTGAGTCTGCATCCCGGCTCTGCCAGCCACTTCCACATGATGACATAGATCATGTGGCATTCTCTGGCCTTGGTTTCCTCATTTGTCAGACCATAATAATAATAGGGCCGTGCTCATATATGGGGCTCTTGTGAGAACTAGTGGATGCTATTGCTCTGAGATACAGCCCTGAGCCTAGCAGGCAGGTTGCCAGGTAATACTGTTGGGATGGGAGGTGGTATGTCAAGCTAAGTACAAGTGGAGGATCATCAAGATGGTGGATGGAGCATCCCTCATCTCAGTGCATAGAACTTTCCATGGCTTCCCAGTGCCCGAAGGGAATGAAGTTTCTCTCCTTGTCTGGGCCCCAGGTACCTTACACCTGGACTATCTCCCCTTGGTCAGCTGTCCTTCAGGCAACCAGAGCATGCCGCCTTCTTGGGTGCCATGCTTGTGGGTAGGTCACGTTTCTGAGCACCCACCATTGCTGAATTCTGGGCACTTGACTTGGATGAACTCATTTGATCCTCACACCAACCCACACAGGAGGTACGGTTATCATTCCTATTTTAGAGGCAAAAACAGAAACCTCGGGGGCTACGTATGTCATCCAAAGTCCCAGAGCCTGAACTGGAGCCGGGGCTTGGGCTCCTGCACCCACTGACTTGACCGCCCCTCGCCCCGCTCTGGGGCCTTCCTCCTCCTGTTTCCCACCTACGCTCTGAAGCCAGTGCGCCTGCCCTTCTCTCTCTGCAAAGGCTCTGCCCAGAGGCCTTCCCAGATCCCCTCCTACCCTGTCATCTAAGGAACGCTGGTGGCCCCGACGTGCCCTCTCAGGCTATGGCTTTCCACTGCTGGTCTTCGGGTCCTTGTCACCTCTCCCAGAGGCCAGGAGTGGGGCTGTGGCCAGTTTTGTGTTCCCTGCAAGGCCCTGCAGGCCAAGGCAGCAGGCATCTATGGAGGTCCTACTATGTGCAAGGCATGGGGACTCATACAGCAGGTGCCTCTTCCCCAAACTCCACACCTGTGCAGCCCATGCCTCTGCCACATCTCCATTTGGATGGCTCCACCTCAACAGTCACAAGTGAGCTCCTGAAATTCACCCCCAAACCTGCCCCACCCCAACAACCTTCCCCATCTCAGGTAATGGCACCTCATTTTGCCACCTACCTGCTCATGCAAAACACCATGGGATCATCCTTGACCCTCTCTCTCCTTCCACCCCTCATTCAATCCATCAGCAAATACCACTGGCTCTACTTTCAAAATATATCAGCAGTCTGACCCATTCCCTCCACATCTGCTGCCACCACCCCACTGCCCACTGGTGTGAGTGCAGAAGCCTCCCTCCGCATGGGCCTCCTGCCTCCCCTGTGGCCCCTGGAATCCATTCTCCATGCAGCAGCCAGAATGAGCCTGGAGCCGGTGGTGGCTCCTGGCTCATTCAACATGATAGCAGAGCCCTGCCTGTGGCTCCCCTGTTCCCTCTCTGACCTCAGCTCCTGCCCTCTCCAATCCCCACTGCAGCGAGTGGAGAAGCAGGGAAGACAGTGATGGGGGCGGCCTGGCTCTGTCTGCCCTTGAGGGTCTGCCCAGCTTTGGCCTCACTTCTGCTGAGCACCATGGCCCTGAGAGGCAGGCTGGCGAGGCCAAGGCTCAGAGCAGAGGGGGGGACCAGCAGCTGCACTACCACAGAGCTGGGAAATGGCAGGTGAAGGACTAGAACCCAGATTTGATGGACTCCACTCCTGCTGTCCTTCAGCAAAACCGAGCCCCATCCTCTGGGTGAGCCACAGGAGCCTGTGCCAGGTCTAGGGGAGCCGGGACTGTGCAGGTGGGAGCCTGCTTATGACAGGCTCTGAGACTGAGTCCTGGCCCCCCGGCCACAGGGCTGCGCTGACCAAGGCCAAGTCCTCCTTTGGGGAAAGTGAGCCAGGCCTCTGGAAAGCCTTCTGAGCCTCTCCTGATGGCTGAAGCTTCTTGGAAGGCTCTGGATGCTCCTGGAATGTTCCAGGTTATTGGCTCCCGAAAGCCTCGCAGCTGCCCGTCATGCAGGAGCCGTTGTTATCTCCATTTCCCAGCTCAGGAAACCGAGGCTCAGGAGGAGCAACAACCCAGGGGAGGCGCACTGGCTCACGGCGGATGTCCGGCAGTATTCATTCTCTGAAGGCTGCTTTGGGGACTGAGGGCCAAGTGGAGCTGAGAGCTGGTGGGCAGCCTGAGGTGGGAGTTTCGGGCACCCAGTTTCAGCCCACACCAAGAACTTCCTTTCAGGTATGCACATGATGGAAACTTTGCAGGGGTGAGCTCCCTGTCACCACTGGAGTTCCAACACTCTGCTTGTGGAGGGAGCAGAGATTAAGGTCAGAGGGGCTGCTGGGCTGAGCAGGCCAGATTTCTCTGATATTGCCTAGCCTCAGTTTCCTTATCTGTGAAACAGGGATGCTAATTCCTAGCTGTCAGAGGCAGGAGGAGTCAAGGAGCACTGTAAAGGCCCCAGCCTTTTGCCGGCCCAGAGAAGGTACCTAGTAAATGCCACTGTCCCCTCCCGCGGCTCCCAAGGTTCCTCTGTAGGGGTCAGACTCTGACAGCAGAGTGAAAGGGGTCATCTCTACTGGCTCTGCCTCCGCGGAGCAGCCCCGCCAAGCCCCTGCCGTCTCCCAGTCTGGGGAGCCGATGGGCAGGGTGGGGTCCAGGCCTGGGGGTGGGCCAGCCCTAGACATCTGCCTCTTCCTGGTCTTGTCTGTCAGCTGGCCTGGGCCAGGCTGGCACCTTGAGTGAACTGGGAGGCCCCACAATGACTTTTTGGAAAACCTGGCTTTGAGGGCAGATGGGCCTCTTGCTGCCACTGCCACTGGCCCTCAGAAGAGGCAGGGCTCAAGTTCTGTCCTTGTAACGACCTCGCCGCTGTAAGCACAGCCCCGTGTGGGCTAAGCCTGGAGCCTCCCTGCCTTCCAGAGTTTCTTGGCATCCTGGCTAGGAAGCACTCAATGCCAGGACCCAGAGAGCTGGGGGAAGCCCACCCCAATGGGCTCTGTCACGGTCTCGAGAAAATTGGTACTTAATGAGCACCTACTCTTTCCTTACCTTCGCTTGAATAATTCGTGAGGTGACGCCTACAGCTGTTTCACAGAGAAGCAACTTGGCTGAGCAGCGTCGGAGCCACTGTTCTGTCCCAGGGTGTGTGCATTCTCTCTCTCTATCCTGCCATCCGCTGGGCAGGGCAGTGGAAGGAACACAGGCTTTGGAGTCTGGAGTGTGACGGGAGGGGCTCTGGGCTGCACAGGATTGATCCAGCACAATCCTGACTCTGCCTTCACATCTTTGCACACTCTGTTCCGCCTGCTCACTGTCCCCTCCCGCGGCACTCTGAGAGAGTGCAGGCAGCCCTCGGGCTGGGGAGGCAGCCCCCAAGGGGCCTTGGGACTCTAAGTGGCCTGCGGGAGGCTAGAGTGGCCAGTGATTAAGGGATAAAGGCAGCGATGGGGCAGGAAGAACCTGCATGGGTGCTGGGCCCAGGGCAGGCCAGACCAAGAGGAGCAAGCCTGGAATCTGGAGAGGTTTGTTCGTTGGTTCGTTCATTCATTCATTCATTCATTTCCCTGGCTGACCCCCTCTCTACTCCGGGTCTCCCCAGGCTTAAGACTCATGCTCCCTGTAAGGCAGGGGAGGAAAAGCCCAGGGTTGAGAATCCAGGTCCGTTTTCAAGTCCTGCCCTGGGACAACTGAACCTAGAGGGGAAGAGCATGGCAATTAGGAAAGAGCATAGACAAGGGCAAGACGGTGTGAGTGGGCCTTTGGAGCTGTGTCAGCTGGGAGGGTGGAGCCAGCATCTGGGCAGAGAGGGAGAAACCTGGGTTGGGCCGCCCTTTCCCACTCTGGGCCTTTGCCCAGGCTGCTCTCTGCTTGGCCTGCCACTCTCTTTCATGCCCTGTTCATTGGCGTCCCCCGTCAGTCCCTTCCTGAGCCACCCTCATCAATACCCTCCTTCCCCAGGGTACCCAGAGCCCCAAGTACTGCCTGGGTTTGAGCAGTCAACGACCTGGACAGGTTTCTGTCCTGCCTGAGTGTGGTAGTAAGATCCTCGACTCAAATCCTGGTTCTGCTCTTCTCCCACTGGGTGACCATGGACAAGTTACTTCACCTCTCTGTTTCTTCATCTGCAGGATGACAGTAGCAGCCTCCAACTCACAGGGCTCTCAAGGGGATTAAATGAGGTTGTGCTCATAAAGCAGAAAACCACACTGCCTCCAAAAGCCAGCCAGCTAGGACACACATGTTCATGCACATCATTATTATTATTTGTGAGTCCCTTGAGGGCAGGACCTTGTTGTGTGGTGCCCTGCTCACAGTAAGGCAGGGGGCTCAGTGATCGCTTCTGGAACAAATGGGCAGCCTGTTCTCCAGTTTAGATGTGAGCTCTAATAAAACTATCAACAACTAAATAGTTATGTATTGAATACCTCCATGATCTTATGTAATCTTCACCACCCTGCAACATGGGAATTATTAGACCGATTTGGCAGATGATACAATTGAGGCTTAGGGAGACTAGACTGCCGGCCTGAAATCCAGTGAGGAGTAGTTGAGAGAATTTCACACCTGGGTCTGCCTTTGCTGCACTGTGTGTTGGTTAGGACACTGTCCTGTTGCACCCCTGGATGAATGGCCCAAACACCCTCTTCTGTCCCTCCTGGATGCCCTTCCCATCCCCTGGCCACCCCTTGGAGTTGCTGGGGTAAGTGGACATGGATTTGGGAGCCCACAGTGATCTGTCTATCCATCAGTCCTGTGCCCTGTACCACATGCACACAGACACGCACAAATTCGCATATACGCAACCTCTGTGGCCACTGAGTTCCCCAGTTCTCCGGAGCCATGTCTCTGTAACCACAAACCTGTGTCAAGGCCCTGTGAAATGCTGTCAGTCAGGCTGTTACTGCTCCTCTATTTTTTGGCCTCAGTTCCCAAGCTGTCAGCACTGGGGCTCACATAGGCTTGTTACTCATGGGGTCCCATGGGGCTTGGGAACTTGCCACCCCCAGCTCAGTGTCCCCTGCACAGTGGGGATAAGGAAGGAGCCAGCACACTTCATCAGGCACCAGGGAAGCCTGGAACCTTGCTGGGGGTCTTGGACAGCCTACATAACCTCTCTGAAATATTTGTTCAGTAACCCTCCAACTACACTCCATTCACTCTCATTTCCCAGCCAGCCTAGATTCGAGGCTCAGGTAGGAAAATGAACGTGGAGGGTAAAGGCGAAGTGCAGGAGAATGATGTTCAGAGGAGTCCTGGCTGCTGGGGTCCACCTGGGCCCACTGGGAAGGGCTGCATAAATGGTCTGAACCAAGTGAACAGTGGGCCAGCCCTACATTGTCTTCCCTTGAACTCAAGTCTGGGAGCCGCCCATGGCTGCACCCAGCTCTGAGAGAGTGCAGGCAGCCCTCGGGTTGGGGAGGCAGCCCCCAAGGGGCCTTGGGACTCTAAGTGGCCTGCAGGAAGCTAGAGTGGCCAGTGATTAAGGGATTAAAGGCAGCGATGGGGCAGGAAGAACCTGCATGGGTGCTGGGCCCAGGGCAGGCCAGACCAAGAGGAGCAAGCCTGGAATCTGGAGAGGTTTGTTCGTTGGTTCATTCATTCATTCTTTCATTCTGGATGTGTTTATTCAGCACCTCATTTGTGCCTTGCAGACCCTGTGCTCAAGGCCGGAAACACAGCAATGGGCGAGACTCCTGACCTCGTGGAGATCACATTCTAATGGAGGAACACAGACAAAAAATATAATAAGGAAGCAAAATATATTGTGGTCCAGAGTGATAAGCACCTAGAAGAAAAATAACACAGGGACAGAAAACAAGGGGTGTATTTTTTTTTTTCATTTATAAATAAGGTGTCCAAGGAAGGTCTAATTGAGAAAGTGACATTTAAGCAAAGACAGCAAGGAGGTGAGTCAGATGGCTCTCTGGGCGAGGAGCATTCCAGGCAGAGGGAACAGCCAGGGCAAAGGTCTGGGGCAGGGAGCATGCCTGGCACAGTCAGGGAATGGAAGGCTCGGGCTGGTGTGGCTGGAGGAGAGGGAGGCAGGGGGAGGTGGTAGCAGATGAGCTCAGAGAGGAAATGGGGGCCAGTGATGAGGTCTCCTGGACACTCACCATTTAAGAGGATCCCTCTGGCTGCTGAGTTGAGAATAGGCTGGGGGAGGGGCAAGGGCAGGATCAGGGAGCAGACAGGGAGCTGCGGAAAACTGTCTAACAGGATTTGCTGATGGACTGCATGTCCGGGACAGCGAGAGTGCAGAGGTGTTAAGGATTGCTCCAGAAAGTTCTGGTCAACTTGCTGGAAAGGTCAGCCAGGCCCAGAGGCTCAGTGGAGCCCTCAAGGAGGCCACAGACCTCAGGTGGGGCTGGGATGAGGACCTGTGGAGTCAAGCCTCAGGAAGGACCAGCCTCTCTGTGCTCTGGCCTGGGGGCTGGGCTTCAAGTGGCCCAGGGACTGTGGGAACCCTCTGCACTGGCCCTCCTCCCCACCCACTCACCCACCCATCTGTGCACCCTACCCCAGTCCCTCCCTCCCTCCTTCTGTCCATCCACTGGCCCTCCTCCCGTCCCTCCAGCCCCACTCAGCAACCCAACCATCCTGGCACTGTCCCTGCTCTTCTGAACTCGACATCCAGGGCGTCTGGGCTTGAAGCGACTTCACGGGACAGCATAAGACCAATGGATACTTGGAATTCTTTCCAATTTAAGGTGTGACAGGTTTGTAACTACACGTGATTTGATTGTTAAACATTTATAAGTCATTTCAAATAAAGTCGCTCTCACTAAAAAACCCTGGTCAGGTCATGCCTCCTGGTCTGTATTCCAGAAAAGACTGGCAGAGTTGAGGGCTCGATTCTGCCAAGGCTCAGAGGGGTGATTGCCAAGGAGGCAGGCTTATATCCAGGTGGAAAGGGAGAAGGGGCATTCTGGGTAGAAGCACAGCAGCCTAAAGGCACGGGGTGGGGGAGGGTGTGGACCAGGCGGGGTGTGTGGGGAACTGGGGAGGCTGCCAAGCCAGGTGGGCCCACTGGAATGGCTGGCCTTTGCTCCAGGTAGTGGGGAGCCACTGAAGGTTTCTGAGCTGGAGAATGACTCACCCTGTGCCAGTGACACTACAGAGGATGAACAAGAAAAGGCAAGTGATTTGAGGCGGGAAGACCTGTGAGGGGGCTGTGGCCTTGGCCAGTAGGGACAAGACACCTGATGCTGGAAAATGGAGTATCAAGGGAGATACGTACGGGAAGCGCCGCAGGAGTGACGAAGTGGGGGTGGTGCTGCTTGCTGGGGTTCGACAGCTGGCCACCTCAGAAAACCTCACACCAGACATGCCTGTTCTGCAGCGTTCCCTGCCTCAGAATTGCCGCCTTCTCCGTCCCGCGCCACCAGCACCTGGCACCATCCTGGACCCACTCTCCCCTATATTGACGCTGTCTCAGAGTCACTTCGATTTTGGCTCTCAAATCCCTCCCCAGGTGCCTCTCCTCTGCACCTGGTTGGCCTCTGCCCCAGGCTGTGACCCGCCTCTCCAGGCCTGGACTAAGGCCATGTTCTCTTCCTGGCCTCACGCCTCCAACTGGGTACTGCTGGTCCATCCCCTGAAGAATGGCCAAAAGGATCCTTCTGGAACCTGAGTCTGGCATGCCACCCTCCTATCCTCATGGTTTCCCACTGCCCTGAGGAAAGTCCACCCAGCACAGGCCTCCTCAGCTTACCTGCTCCCCTTTGAAGCCCCATCCCTCCCAGCCTGTGCCCCTCCCTCTCCAAGCCTGAGATTCTTGTTATTGCTTCATTCATTCGGCTAAGGCTTATTGTGCACCTCTTCCATGCTGGCACCATGCTTGCATTGAATGCTGGGAACTGTGAAAGGGAAGAGAATGAGTCACAGGGTCTGGGATCAGGTATGGCCTCTGTGAGGACCAGACATCCTAGCTGAGATCCTGAGGATGAGCAGGACTTGGGGGAAGGGTGTTTCAGGAAGAAAGAATGTCCAGAGGAACAGGCCTGAGGCAGGCATGGGCTGGATTCATTGCCCCTATCAGGGCATCCACTGCCTGGCACCCCACCATTACCCCAGGATGGCCCCTTGGGAGGGCCAGAAGCTGATCCTGGGTAGGTAGCAGGGCCAATTCCTGAGGGCCTGTGGGGTATACTAAGGTGTGGGGACCTTGTCATTAAAAAAAATAGTTTTATTGTAATATAATTCACATACCATAAAATTCACCCTTTACAAGGGTACAATTCAGAGGGTTTTAGTATATTTAGAGTTGTGTAAAGATCACCACTATCTAATTCCAGAACACCTTTGTCATCCCAAAGTAACTTTGTACCCGTTAGTGGCCCTGTAGCCACTCTTTGTCTCCCCTGGTCTCAGTCCTTGGTAACTACCCATCTGCTTTCTGTCTCTATGGATTTGCCAATTCGACATATCACATAAATGGAATCAGACAATATGTGGCCTTTTGTGTCTGGCTTCTTTCACTGAGCATATGTGTTTGTAAGATTCAGTCATTCATGTTGTAGTATGGGCCAGCACTTCGTTCCTTTTTATAGCCAAGTAATATTTCACTGTGTGGCCAGAACACATTTTATCTCTTTATCAGTAAGCATTTGGGTTTTTCCACTTTGGGGCTATTATGAATGATGTTGCCGTGAACATTTGTATCTAAGTTTTTGTGTGAATATGTGTTTTCATTTCTCTTGCGTGTGTAACTAGAAGTGGAATTGCTGGGTTATATAGTAACTCTTCAAAGACTATTTTCCACGGTGGCTGCAGTATTTTCCATTCCCACCAGCAGTACATGAGAATTCTGACTTCTCTACATCCCTGTCAACACGTGTTATTGCCTGTCTTTTGATTATAGCCATCCCAGTGGGTGAGAAATAGTAGGTATCTCATTGTGGTCTTGACTAATGACTGGTGATGCTAAGCATCTTTTCATGTGCTTATTGGCCATTTTATTTGGAGAAATGTCTGTTCATACTCTTTGCCCATTTAAAAATTAGGCTATTTGTGCTTTTATTGCTGAGTTGTAAGAATTCTTTATATTTCTAGATGCAAGTCCCTTATCAGGGGAACGGAGCTGGAATGCCAGGCCAAAGAGCCATGCCCCATGGCGTCCCCGAACTCTGTACTCCTAGACCTGGGTTCTGTCTCCAAGGTCTCACAGAGGGACCCAGTGTCCCCTGGGAGGGTGGACAGCTGCCCCACGAATCTCCTTCCTGCCAGCTCCCTCGCATCCACTGCCTTGAGCCCCTTCAGACATTACACGGCAAACGTTTCACAGGGATGTGATGCCTCCACCCATCCAGGCCTAGCAGCTGGTTTTCGTATCAAGGAAAAGGGAAAAGGCCGGTCTTTTCAGGGGTGACCACAGAGAAGCCACCACCTGTTCCACACCCACTGTGACAAGGCCACAACTGCAGCTGTGACAGACTGGCTGCCTTGCCTCCTTGGCCCAGAGGTCGAGCCCACAGCTCACCCGGTCGCCCTCTCAGCGGGCAGGCCTGCCCTCACCCTGCTTATTTAAACTCTCCTGAACTTTCCAGTTTGTAAGTTGAGCACTTATAACTTTGAGAATCAAGGGAAATGGTAGAAAAACAAAGCCCAACCACGGCTGCCGGCTGATTTGCTCGGACATGTGGGAGGTTCCCTGTGGTGGCCCAGGGCTGGGTGCTGGGATGAAAACATGGGGACAGCACTTGCTGGGCCTGGCACGAGGAGTCTCACCTCCTCCTGTCATCCTCTGGGTTGGTGTCTGCCCAGCCAGTGGCTCCCAGCCTCATGCCATTGCTTGTGACTCTGTGCTGGGGCTCTGGGGCACCACGAAACCCAGGGTTCAAAGAGGGAAAGGGGCCCTGACAATTCTAGGAGTGAGGTCCAGGCATAGCTGGGGGGAGCCTGAGGTGTAGCCTCTGGAAGCTGGGGAGGGACCAAAGGTGGGTGAGTCCTGGACTGCCCTTCAAGGACAGATAAGATTTCAAAACCGCAGTAAAGGCATTTAGGCAGAGGACAGCTACAAAGGCCTGGCACGCTGGGAACTGGTGGAGGGCTGGTACCTGGCAGATGGAGAGAGGCAGGTGCAAAGCCACTGGGGCTGACTGTTCTCGAGCCCTGTACGCCTGGCCAGGGCCCACCTCCCTGATGGTGCTCCTAAGTGCTGAGAAGCCCTCTGGTCCCCTCCCTCCCTAACCTTTGCTCTGCCCGTGGCCCTGTTCCAGCACCCCTCCCCTCAAGCCCCCCAGCGCTGTCCCAGCCCCTGCCCTCCTTTGCAGGCAGGATTCGCCTCTGGACTTGCTCTCTGCTCTGCAAAGCCCCAGCCGGGCCTGCCACTCGCCACCTGCCACACGCCCACACGGACCCCCCTCTGCCTCTGCTGGCTCGCTTTGGCAGGCTCTGGGCCCTGAGGCCCCTCTGCTCGCTGACTACACAGCAGCCGGTGGGCTCGGGAGCCAGAGCGAGAGATTTATTGTGGTTTTTAGGGGGCGTTTAGGAACTGATGTGATAATGTCTGTGAACGCACTTTGTAAACTGTAACGGGGGAGTGCCATGCGCGTGAGGGGCTGTGGCTGGGGAGGGGGCGGGATCCCAGCCCCCGCATGACATCCTGGGGCTCAGCTGGGAAACCCCTCCAGTCCTGGGGGTGGAGAAGCCCTGCTGGGCTCTAGGGTGGGAGTCCCAGTCTGCCTCTTCCAGAACAGGGCCTCTGGGGCTGTCTGTATCACCAGGCGGCACTGGAATGAGCCGTGAGCCAGAAAATTGCCTGGGTCCCTCCCTCACCCAAGAGGCCCTGTTGCACTGCAGTGACAGTGACATGCTTCCTTGCTGCAGAGCAGGAGGGCTCCAGCCTCCTGACCCCCACTATGGGGGGACTGAGATAACATGGGGCTGGCAGCTGGGCTGGGCTGTCTTTTGTGAAGGGGAGCTGCCCACAGGCAGGGGACTCTGCCATCCCATCCTTCTAACTATGTGTTACCTTCTGAGAATACTTCTTCAGGAGCAAATGTTTGTTGAGCTCCTACTATGTGCTTGGCACTGCTCTAGATGGTGGGGTACCACATAGTTCAAGACAGACAAAAATCTCTGTGCTCATAGACCTTATGGCCTCTTAGGTGAGGGAGGGTGAAGGCAGACACTCCACTGTTGAATGATTTTAAAATACTGATCGTTACTACAGAGACAGGAAAAGGGGAGAATCAGGAACTGTTGAAGCTGGCGGGTCAGGCACAGCCCTTTGGAGGGCCCCTCACCCCTCTCTCTAGCTGGGTCCATCCCGTGGCCTCTGGGATAATCCTGGACTCTGATGGGCTCAGCTGCTCCCCACCATCTGCCAATCACTACTACCAAGGTCTGTGGGCTAGGTAGCCGCAGGTTCCCAGGCCTGTGGTCAAGGGGCTGCCCTGGGTCAGGCACGCTCCATCTGGCCACTGTGTGCGGCTGCCAGAGCCCCGTCTGAGCTGTCTGCATTTCATCCTGGAGCTGCTGAGAGACAGGGCACGGCCAGGCTCTCGCACAGCTTGAAAAGCCTGCTGCTGCGGGTGCTGCTCCATCTGCCCCTATTTTCCAGCTGAGGAAACTGAGGCCCAGAGGACCCGAAGTGGCAGAGGCACAGCTGGCAGAGGCACAGCTGGCAGAGGTGGAATTTGAACTTAAGTCTGTTTTTTAAACTAGAAGTCATGCCTGTGGTCGCATAAGGATAGCAGGAGAGTCTCCTTGAGCTTGGGACTGGTTGCCTTTATTACTCTCAAGAACACTGAGAAGCGAGGAATGCCATTTGAGTGCTACTCTAAATACTGGACCTGAATTACCTAATTTAATCCCCAGCACACCCAATGATGTGGGAGCTGTCATTAATGCCCCCATTTTACAGACAGGGGAACTGAGGCCCAGCAAGGTTGTGGAACTTGCCCAAGGCCACAGAGCTGGTACAGTGGAGTTAGGATGTGAACCCTCCAGGGCCCACTTTTTAACTGTTCCTATCTGTATCCCCTGTAAAAATCACAAGCCTTGAGCCTTATGATTGCCAGGCTGTGCTGAGTGGTTCTACACACAGTGTCCCATGTCAGCCTCATTACAGCCTCTTAAATCAGTTGGTCTTCTTATGATCTGCCTACAGTATTTTACAGATTAGGGGATGCAGGCCCTGAGCAGATGAGTCACAGCTGGGAGGTTGGGAGGCCAGGCTGGAGCTCAGGCCAGCTCCCCCAAGAATGCAAGCAAGCACTCAACCTTCTGGCTCTCTCTTCTTCTCGCCTGCTGTCCTGTTTGTGTCCCTGGAAGTCCACAGAGGCTGGGTTATCCCCTAAATTGCAGATGGGCACACACACTGAAGCCCAGGAAGGTGTTTGGTGACCTGTTTATGGTTGCTGGCTGTGGAGCTAGGTCTGCTTCTGGGCCCCCTCACTGAAAGGGCACCTGGCTGGGCCACTGGCCAAGGAATATTTGAGGAGGAGGGAATCATGTCCTGGACATTTGCCCAGGTATGCGAGGATCTGAGAGGGAGGCCTGCCCAGAGCCAGCTCTGGGATTGGATGCCGGCATCTCCCCCACTACAGACCTGTCCTACCCTCTGGACTTAGCTCTGTATCAGCCCTGATGGGGTGGGGGGTGGGGTCTCACTTCCCTGTGGGGCAGGAAGACTCCAGAGGTCCACACAGGCTCCTGGCTTAGTGCCCTGCCAACCTGTGTCCTTGGCAAGGTCACCCTCTCTGAACTTGTTTCTTTGTAAAATGGAATCCTGGAGTCTGGCTGGGTTTGTAATACAGATTTTTAGTAAAAATTTGTGGTGTGTCTGGTGGCTGGAAAGGAACAGCTCTTGCCTGGCCCCATCCCAGTCCTCTGCTCAGGAAGCAGGATGAAGGGATACTGGAGACACTTGCCCCTGGGAGTCATCACAGCTGCACTGACCCAGAGGGCTCTCTGGGCTCCTCTGTCCCCAACACTCAGACCCTGTAGTGCTGAGGCCTTCTGTGACCTCACAGGTCCAGGGGAGGAAGAGTGGGCCTTCTCTGAGCCTCCCGGACATTCCCCAAGTGGACTGCACCTTCTGGGAGGGATTTGATGGCAGTGTGAGGGCAGCAGCAGAGGCCCAGAAGCTTTGGCAGTGGGATTAAGGTGGAGAAAAATGAAGCGTGGAAATCATTAGCTTCCTTGGTTGGCAAGAGCTGCCCTGAACGAACATTTGAGGCTTTTAAAATGAACATCAGCTGCAGGGACTGGTGCCCTGTGCCCGCCATGGCTCAGGCTGCCTAGTGGAATCCCAATCCCGCCAGTTCTTATTTAGTTGCTGCTCAGCCAATACTTACCTAGCGCCTACTGTGGGCCAGGC